GAGGAAGTGCTGAAGGTGGAGAGTGCTACAGCTCAGCTTGTCAGTGTGGCCTCTCTGGCCATGAACCAGACTGGTCAGAGCTCCTCAGTTCTTTCCATCACCACCCATGTCCCTGCTGTGCTGGTCCCTGTACTGCTTCTAGGTTTGAAGCTGTTCCTTTGTGTGATAGTGGCTGTAAGAATGAGGTGGTGAAGTGAGCTTTAGCTTCTGTTGTTTGGCACAACAGATACCACAGACTTTTATTTCAAATTTCAAAACATTTTCAAGTTAGAGAGCAGCATGTCTTATGTTTTTGCATTTAAAAAAAAAAGCTTTGACTCTTCTCTGACTAGATTCTCCCTCTAGTTTTAACTGCTCAAAGATCACTGCTCTGTAGGTTTAGTCAGTCTTCTCAGTAGGTAAATCTTTTCCTAAGTTAATACTTAAAACCTCAGGAAACCTGGGTGTTCCCTACTTTTTCACATAAAACAAGGCTCTGTAAGAGGAAAAGAAAAATTGAGCAAATTGGAATAAAATTTCAGTCTTTTTGAGGATGCTCAAGGGGATGGACTTATAGTTTTTTATGATAAATGATAAGACATATGGGGGGGTCTTTCAGCTGCAGGTGAAAGGAAATGAAGTCATGAGGAACCTTGTTCTTGGAGTCATTAACAGCCCAATCTAGGAATATCTGTTGTTTTCTCAACTTGTTGGAGAGTCAATGTAGATAACTTTGGACAATCCTTCCAAAGCCAGTAGCACAGTTCACTGTTTTCAGTGAAGGAAATACTAAGCCAAAGCTGAGTTCTGTCTGAAATTCCCCCCAGAGCTGACATGTTGCTGCTAGTGGGGGTTAAAAGGAGTAGTTCTGGTGTCTGAAGCAGGGCAAGGAGGTATTGAAGAATTACATTCAGGGAGATAAAAAGTCAGAGCTCTGTGTTAAATTATGGATTTTTTTGAGATTCTGTTCCCATGGTGGACTCATAGTATAATCATCCAGCCTCTGTGACTTAGGCAGAGCATGCATTTGTATGCAAAAGCAAAGCAGTCACAGTAAGTGTAAATATTTCACTGGTAGAATTGTGGATATTATTGACCTCCAGTCTCCAGCAGTGTAGGTTTTTTTCCTGACCTGCCTGTCCTGGCCCAGACGAGTTACTCAGAGTGTGATTTTCATACAGGTCTCTCACCACCTTAAGCAGTGTGTAAGGAAAGTGAGATGCAGCTGATACACAAGGTACAGTGAGCATCTGCTGCAGTTCTTGGTCTAGTCTGTTGTGTTGCTGAGGGATTCAACTGTTTAAAGAACCATAGAAGCAAAATTGCACTTCTTGACATGAAAAAAATAAAATAGCCCTTGAGAAATAGTTTCCTCTGTATGTGTTGGGGTTTTTTACCTTTTTTAAGTAATAAAAATGTATAAAAGTGAAGTCAGTAAAATGTTTGAGTTCAAATGGAACCAACTTAAAATAAAGAAGACATTTATCTATGGACTGTGCACAACTTTTGAAAACTTTTTAATAAAAGCTTTTTAATAAAACTTTTTAAAAGTGTAAAATTTTTGGTCATTGTTGGCCAGGTTTTAGAGGCAAACTTAAAATACTCTTTAATTGCAGAGAGTTCTGTGTCTCTGCCTTTTCCTACCTTGACAGCTTGATGTTGTGAGCTCTGAAGTGATGTCCTCATCTGTTTCTGTGGGAATCACTGGGAGACAGCGCTGGCATCTTGCACTGGAGGCTGTTCCAGGTGTTTTAAGATGTTTTGTGGGAAACTTGGGTGTATGCTGAAGTTTCTGTGCTGCAGATGCTGCTGCTGGAGGCAGCGTGTGAGTGCAGGCGGGTGCCTGCATGTGCAGAAGCTGCCAACGAGGAGCTTCTCCTCCAAGCTGTGTTAGGACTTGCTGAAGCGAGTGGTTGAACACATGCCTGAACGTGTGGAGGAGAAGCTGTGGGGAGTCAATCCAAGGGCAGAACATCCTGCCAGCATCCTGCACTTCCAGCAGATATGAGTGCGGCGTCAACACTCGATAGCCAACGTATTCTTCAGCCTTCATGGCTTGATATTACTGGGATGAAAATACTAATTTGGTTGATTAGCTTGACAAATAGTCACAAAATGGTCTTGGCAGCAGGAGGAGGTTCAATGGGATTAATGGGATTTTGCCAATAAATCCTGAGAGATGCTTTGGACAACAGCAGAGAGCTGGCACGGGGCTTTCTTCAAGAGGGTCTGGACCATCTTGGTCTGCCTGGAAATTGGAATTTGAGGGAATCTGTGAGACTTCTGGGCTGCTTGTTCCTTAGGCAGAGTATAGCTCTGGATTATTCTCCTAACAGACTATAGGAATCTTGTTCCTTGCTACTTCTGATTTTTGTTTTGTTTTGTTCTCCCCAGTTTGCTGTTTAGTCTGTATTTAACTGGCACGTTGCCATCAGCAGGATGAATTTGGTTTTGGGATGTAGTGAGTGTTGCCAGCCCTGAATGCTTACAGGGTTGCCTGTGCTTCATGTGCAATGGAAACTGAGAGCTGGATTTGAAATAAAGACTAATTTATGGACGCATGTGGTGTCTTTCCTTTTATTGCTTCAGAAGTCTCCAAGTGTATTTCCAGGGTTTTTCTTCACAAAGTTCTGTGGAAGTTGGGTAAGTGTGAGAAATAGTTTGTGATGGGGAGGTGGCAAAGCAGGATTATTAATCTTTATAAATATTAAGGCAATACATTTTAAAAGCAATTAAATAATAATGAAATTGTTGCTGTTAATCTTACCAGTAGGTACCATTAATGAGATAACTCAGGGTTTACAGTGTCTCTTAATCTTCTCTTTTTTTTTTTAAGCAGGAGAAGAACTGAAGGAAATGTTCTCCTTGAGAGCTTTTTGGCTGCTCAGAAGGGTAAGATGTGAAGGGATAATTTTCTTTCTATTTCTACATTGAATAATTGTTTCAATTTGGAGTGTTTGCCTCAAGCTTGAGCTCTTCCTTCCGCTCCTCTGAACATGTTTCTCATGGATTGGGCCTTTTGTCTGAAATGGAAGTGGTGCTACTAAGTAGCACTTAAAGCTCTTCTGGCTTTGGCCCTGGAATGGCCAAAGTAGCCTGGCTCTTCACTGCTCAGTGGTGAATTCTTACCAGGCCAGTTCCTCACCTCCCAGTGTGGGTGGAGGGTGCTGAGCCTGCAGCTGCTGAAGCCCCTGACCTGCTCCTCCCATCCATGCCTGTTGGCCAGGTTGTGTGCAGGCTCTCCACCCCATTTCAGTCCACATCAGGGAACCAAGGCCACCGAGTCCAGCCCCCCCTCAGTGAGCAGGGGCAGCTTCAGCTAGAGCACATTGCTTGGACCTTTGTCCAGCCTGACCTGGAATGTTTCCAGGCATGGGACATCGAGTACCTCTCTGGTATGTCAGCTGCCCTAGCAGTAGCCAGCAGTTTAAACTGCTTGCCACAGGCTCGTTTGTCCTGTAGATGTGGGCCATGGCTGTGGGAGCTGCTGCCTGGTGTGGCAGTGTCTTGGTTGTGGTTGGGGTAACCCTTCTAGAAAAAAAACCCTAGAGCTGGAAGCAAATGCTGGAGCCAGTCTTGGTGAGCCTGGGTCTGAGGTTTGTGGTAGCTTCTGTGTTGGTGGAAGTGAGCAGTTTACAGTGGGGGTATCTGAAATGGTGCTGCTGATAAGAGCTTTCTGTGGAGGTGGGGAGGGAGATGTGCAGAGGGAACAAAAGCTGAGCAGGGAGGAGGAGTGAGGGGTGTGAAGGCTGCAGATGGGTAAACCAGGCACAGAGTCATTCCCAGGCTGAGGCCTGAAAGTCCTCCAGGAATACAGCTGTAAATCCAGTGAGGTGTGTGGGAACCCCACCGGGACAGAGCCAAGAGGGAGGGCAGGAGGGGATCAGTGTCCCCAGCCAGGTGGGCTCTGGGGGAGAAGGACCAGGGCTGGAAAGCTGGGAGCTGGGCTAGAGAGGGGGTGGGAAGGGGCAGTGGAGGTTGTTTTAGCCACAGTTTGGTAGAGCTGACAGCACCTCCTCAGACGTGTTCTTTATGGGCTGCTGTCATTGCTTAGAAAAGTGAAATGTTTCTGTATTATAGAAATAGAGATAAAGAAAACATTAATGTGTAAATAAAAGATAGTAACAATATATATAAAATGTAATAGAACTATTTCTGTCATCATTGTCTTTTAGATAAGAGAATAGACTCCAAAATGAAGAGCAGACTGTATCTCTTACTTTCATTTATGTTTTCTTGATTTTCCTTCCCCTTCCTGTCCTTCCATGGGAAATCAAACAGAGGATAAGTAGCAAGAAAGAAAAATGACACTTCCTGAGAATGGGGACACTGGAATTGGTTTTGAATACACATAACCTCTAACGAGGCACTGATTTTTGGCTTGGATGTTTGTAAGTCATGGGTGGTTTTGGCCCTTGGAAAAGCATTTGAAACAACGTAGTACACAGAATGTGTGAAGCCTGTGAGCAGAGGGTGGGGAATGGATTGTCCAGAGCTCAGCTACCCCATCATTTGGGATTTGGCGTGGTTTGTTGGTTGCTGAATATCATTGCTTCAGAAGTTGAAATCTGCTTTTCCTGGCCACGTGCCCATGGTCAGGGCTGGAGCTGCTCGTCACGGGTAAGTGGGTCCCGTTGGTCT